GAACCGCCGCTTGACGTTGGAGGACTTGGAGGACAGCTGGGACCGCGGTCTGCCCCGTATCAACACTTTGTTCCAGAAGGACCGCAGCACCCTCAGTTTCGACAAGGGCTTCCGTCTCCGTGCGGAGTTCAAGCAGTACCAGTTGATGAAGAGCAATCCGTTCTGGTGGACCAGCCAGCGTCATGACGGTAAACTGTGGAACCTCAACGCCTACCGTACCGACGTCATCCAAGCGCTGGGTGGTGTCGAGACAATTTTGGAGCACACGCTCTTTAAGGCTACGGCTTTCCCTTCTTGGGAGGGTCTGTTCTGGGAACGCGCCAGTGGCTTCGAGGAATCGATGAAGTTTAAGAAGCTCACGAATGCCCAAAGATCTGGTTTGAATCAAATTCCTAACCGTCGGTTCACTTTGTGGTGGTCTCCGACCATCAACCGTGCCAATGTGTACGTCGGTTTCCAGGTGCAACTAGACCTTACGGGTATTTTCTTGCACGGAAAGATCCCTACGCTGAAGATCTCTTTGATCCAGATCTTCCGTGCGCACTTGTGGCAGAAGATCCATGAGTCTGTTGTTATGGATCTGTGTCAAGTTTTCGACCAGGAGCTTGAGCAGCTCGGTATCGAGACTGTGCAGAAGGAGACTATTCACCCTCGTAAGTCCTACAAGATGAACAGTTCTTGTGCCGATATCCTGCTTTTCGCAACGAACAAGTGGAATGTCACCCGTCCTTCCCTGCTGTTCGATACCAAGGACGTGTATGAGCCGACTACTACCAACAAGTTCTGGCTTGATGTCCAGCTCAGATACGGTGACTACGACTCTCACGATATCGAGAGATACGTCCGTGCCAAGTACCTGGACTACACTACTGACAGCATGAGCATCTATCCTTCCGCAACTGGTTTGATGATCGCCATCGATCTCGCATACAACCTCTACTCCGCTTATGGGCAGTACTTCCCTGGTTTGAAGACTCTGATCCAACAAGCCATGGCGAAGGTCATGAAGGCCAACCCGGCCTTGTATGTGTTGCGAGAGCGTATCCGGAAGGGTCTGCAGCTGTATGCTTCGGAAAGCAACCAGGAGTTCCTCAACTCCCAGAACTACTCTGAGCTCTTCAGTCCACAAATCCAGCTTTTCATCGACGATACCAACGTCTACCGTGTGACCATTCACAAGACCTTCGAAGGTAACCTTACGACGAAGCCTATCAACGGTGCTATCTTCATTTTCAACCCTCGCACTGGACAACTGTTCTTGAAGATTATCCACACCAGCGTTTGGGCGGGTCAGAAGCGTCTCGGTCAATTGGCGAAATGGAAGACGGCCGAAGAAGTTGCAGCGCTCATCCGGTCTCTGCCTGTTGAAGAGCAGCCTAAGCAGCTTATCGTCACTCGTAAGGGTCTTCTGGATCCTTTGGAGGTGCATTTGCTGGACTTCCCCAACATCTCTATCCGTGCTTCGGAACTGCAGTTGCCTTTCCAGGCTGCGATGAAGGTCGAGAAGCTCGCTGATATGATTCTTCGGGCGACTGAGCCCCAGATGGTTCTGTTCAATCTGTACGATGAATGGCTGAAGTCGATTTCCCCTTACATTGCCTTCTCTCGTCTAATTCTGATCCTGCGCGCTCTCCACGTGAACATCGATAAGGCCAAGATCATTCTCAGACCTGATAAGAGTGTCATCACCCAAGAGCATCACATCTGGCCCACGTTGTCCGACGAGGATTGGATGAAGGTTGAAGTGCAGCTCCGCGATCTCATCCTCAATGACTATGGCAAGAAGAACAATGTCAATGTTCAGAGCTTGACGAGCAGTGAAGTTCGTGACATTATCTTGGGTATGGAGATCAGTGCACCCTCGCTCCAGCGCCAGCAAGCCGCCGAGATCGAGAAGCAGCAGGAGGAGCAGAAGCAGCTTACCGCTGTTACCACGAAGACGCAGAACGTTCGGGGTGAGGACATCATTGTCACCACCACGTCGCAGTACGAACAGCAATCCTTTGCTTCGAAGACTGAGTGGCGTACCCGTGCTATCGCGACCTCCAACTTGCGGACTAGGTCGAACAACATCTACATCTCTTCTGACGAGGTTAGGGATGAGGGTTACACCTATATTATGCCTAAGAACGTCCTCAAGCGATTCATCACCATTGCTGATCTGCGTGTGCAAGTTGCCGGTTTCCTTTACGGTAGCTCGCCACCCGACAACGATCAAGTCAAGGAGATTCGCACGATCGTCATGGTTCCTCAGGTTGGTAACACGCGTGAGGTTCAATTGCCCCAGCAACTACCCCAGCATGACTACTTGAACAACCTCGAACCTCTTGGTGTGATCCATACTATTTCCGGAAACGAGCCACACTATATGACGGCCGCGGATGTGACGCAGCACGCTCGCTTGATGAACGCCCATCCTTCTTGGGACAAGAAGACGGTTACGATGACTGTTTCCTTCACCCCTGGATCGGTTTCACTTGCCGCGTGGGGACTCACTCCTCAGGGCTACAAGTGGGGTGCTGAGAACCGGGATATGACATCGGACCAACCCCAGGGGTTCTCGACTAGCATGGGCGAGAAGTGCCAGCTTCTGCTCAGTGACAAGATCCGTGGGTACTTCCTTGTTCCGGAGGATAATGTCTGGAACTATAGCTTCATGGGAAGCTCCTTCGGTAGTGTGGAGAAGCGGCCAGTGTATGTCAAGATCGACACGCCGCTGAAATTCTACGACGACCAGCATCGCCCACTGCACTTCCAGAACTTCGCTGAGCTGGAAGATATCTGGGTTGATCGTTCGGATAACTTTGCGTGATTGATGACTTTCGGCGGCGTTGGATGATTTCATGTCACGTTCCTCTTCTCATGGGTTTCATATTCTTGTCTTTGTAGCTAGCCTTGATTTTCCTTTTTTTTTCCCTTTCCCTCTTCTCCTTAATCCTTCTCCTCTTCCGATTTGTCTTCATTCCAGCAGAAAAATTACTTCCCCTCATGTGTTGTTACAGCGATTATTGGTTGGCATCTGGGATCGAAATTGAGGGGGGGGGTTGATGGTGATTCAATCAGGGGGTTTCACTTGTATTGCTGTACCATATTTGTATGTAGCCTACCTGGTGTCTTAGATGCTAATTGAATCCGACGATCATTGGTTGATCTTGAAGAACTGGATCTTGGCCATGTGTAATGCTAAAGTCCCAAAGTGCCAAAGTGCTGTTACACTAACGGTGTTTTGGTCCTAGGGGATCGACCATGTGGGTGTGGGCTGGAAACTTACCGTCAATCATCATCGGAGAATGATCCGTTTTTTAATATCGGGACCATGTGTGAGTCCACTTAAGTAGGTTTGTCGTGGTAGTTGCTTAACTCAGTGAGGCCATGCAGATTGCAGAAATGAATTTAAGGTGGATTGACTGGTTGCACCAGTGTGGGTTGATCAGCAAACCTCGACTCGATGGCTGACACGAACCGGAACGAACGAACCTCGAAGGACCGGAGAAGAATTTGATTGTGTGTTGCTTGTTTCAATTTGACTCGTAGTTTGTTGATTATTGTTATGGTTATTGTTATTGTTACTTATTTAATTATTGTTTGCCTGATTGTTCTGCCTCAGCTGCTTTCCTTCCTGCCTTTTCTGGTGTAACTACAGTACAGTATATTTTTTTTTCTCCCACCGTGGACCTGTTTCTTTTTCTACTCCATCTTGTTGTTGCCCTGCTGTGCCCACCACAGCAGTGTGGAAAAAGTGCCCCGAAAACCCACATTCTTTTGATTCTGATTTGAATCAGTCCTTCTTGCTTTTCTTTTCTCTCCTTCTTCGGCAACAGCGGCTCCAGCTAGCTCTCAAACAGTGCCTGCCCCTAGTTCGTGGCTTCAAAACCACCGCCCGTTGCCCGTATTCCCGCTCACGTCCGAGTCATCACCGTTCGTGAACTTCGTGCTATCTTTAGTTCTAAAGAATAATGGACAGCACTGGTCTGGTTTACGTTTGAAACCAAGCTCCTCCGCTCCTTCTCAATCTCCCTCCAGTGGTTCGATGAAATCTAATCATTGCGTTCTGTTTCACCACTGCTTCAAGAGCTCAAGCCCTCCGGGGGTGGGAATAAAGTCAAAACACGCCTGTCGGAATAGCTTGCCTTGTGCCGCAAGCCTGCACGCCTGCAAGATGCAATGGGCACAGGTCCCACCAAGTCCGACTCCGAGACCAGCCCGGAGTCCGGAGCCTACGCCCAGTTAAGGCTACTTCAACGCCAGGCTCTGGAGGGGTCTTACGTGTTGTGTATAAGCTCCGTTGCTCTACCCGTGGACATGATTCATGACAGCCATGCTCATTGACTAAGTAGGCAATAGAGCGGGCTTAAAACCGCCCGCAACAAATCATCGGTGGCTATCAGCTCTAGGCCTCCATCCCCTCCCCCTCCCCCCCCCTCGTGCGCCCACACCCACTCGCGGGCATAGACAATCATGACACCCACGCGCTAAGCTCTCGGCCTCCGACCGTTGTCGGGGCTCGTCCGCCAGGGTAATCTAACAGACACGAGCAAATAAGGTTGACAGACGCTCTCACGAAAAGGGTCAGTCCGGCCTTTCCATTGTTGATGGGGTCACTGTCTACTCAGTACGGAGTAGCAAAAGCCAAGGGAAAGATGGTTTTATCATGGTCACCCTGTCTAGTGACCTCCCGGCGCAAGGACCCAGAGCGAAAGATTCCCCCGTGAGAGACCAGTCAGAGGAACAGAAAAAGGGGAAAATAGACGTGGACAAACGGTTGGACCTCGAAGCTAACCAGCCACTTTTTTTTTGTGCGGGCGGCACGATGCTTGCAGACCATATCCCGAAGGTTGCTGTATCCTTCTCAACCTATCTATCTATCAACCTATCTATCTATCGAGTGGATGTGGGTTAGGCGGTGGTTGAGTTCCCGCGCCTCCTGCCCCCAAAAGGGCCCCCCCAAAGCCTTTTTCGGGATTATATACTCTCTAAGACTCCACCATCACTCATGAGAAGGCTCGGCCGGAACTCACCTGCCTAGTCATGATGATGGCCCACTAAACAACAAACTAGCCCTTCTCCCGCTAGTGGTTCAACTCACCCTGTTCAGGTGGATGTCTCGCACGACGACTGCTCTCATTCCTCCTCCGCTATTGGCGTTTCACTGGGTGGAGTTGCTGCGACGACCTACGATGGGCCTTGTTCTGACAGGGGGCAAATTCCCTGAGCGAGTTAGGAGCACAACAGCAACAGGTTTGACTCCCTTAACCCGAATCCACAGAGCCCAGAGGTCACTCAACCCACGTTCGTATCCAATAAGTTAACTTAAGATTATGTTAGGCCTACGTATGGATTGGGCTTGGATCTCCCCGCTTCTAGCTGATCAATCATCCAGAATGATGTCCAAACGCCGCCAGAAGCAAGCTGGGCGCCGATAACCCATCCAGGAAACCTCTTAGACTCTTTGTCTATATTAGTGTTTCATACTTGTACAGTATCTCCCGGCAGTTGACTCTAAATTCCTTCTCCACGACTGTCTGCCATGCCTTGGCAACCACCAGACGGGCCGGCGGAAGGCAAATCGTAGCCTCATCCTTCGACATCGCTGGCTCTGCTAGCTATGGCCGTTGTTCACACTGGGCCCCTCTGCAAACTAAGCTTGACTGGAATGCCGATCCGTCCGTCAAATGGGGGATTTATTTTCCCAGCCCACCTGCACCATCCTGTATTCGGGCTGTATGGAGTATCTCCGTGTCTCGTCGAAAATCCCCCAGTACCCTCTTATTTATTACTTTTTTTCCCTTTCCAGAACCTTACAACTACCGCCCATTCTGGCTGAACTGGCCTATATATCCTAGAATAAGTCGAGTCACTGCACGGGACTTTTACATGCAGCTGGAAGAAGTATCCCGGCATCGCCTCCACTTGTCTCTTCCCCATCTGTTTCTGCATCTCCAGTGACGGGGCTTGACGGTTTTACATCTTGGCCGTCTTGACCGTTTGCTTCCCATTATAGAGGCCTGTGGCTTGACTCTGTAGATTCGGTTGAGTCGGAACCAAATTTGAGGTGCAGCAGACGGATGCAGGGTTACTGGCAATTTCCGAAAAACTTGGTCTTCAACGTTTTCTTGATCTAGGTGAGTGCGTTATCGCTTATATATCCATCATGTTTACCCTGCCACTGGTTTGGTTCTTTCTCCTCATGTTGGCCAGACCGTGCGTCGCCTTCAAGTGTCCCGCTTTTCCCTTCAAATGCGTTCGGTTGCTTTCGATGAGGCCTCTCTATTTCCATCCATTTCCCGTGGGATGAACAAGTTCTTTGACTTGGCGCTTCGGTCACGTCAGTCCGTTTATTCAGCCTTTCCCTAACCTCGACTAGTACTGGAAAACTGCTTTGAACAACGCGATTCTGTTGTGACGAGACTGCGATCTCAGCTTGCGAGACTTTAGATGACGAGAGATATTGGCTGATGCTCAACCCACTGTCAACTTTGGAATCAAGCTCTTTTTATCACTGTTTTATTCTCGAATCCAAACTCCGTCCTATCAGCGAAAGACCTCTTCTACTGGGACCGACTCCCTCGAACTCACCTCTTACCATTTTCTAAGCCGCGTTGAGCAGCCTGCCAGGGCTTTCAAGCTCTAGCGGCGCAGATGTATGTCCGCTACTCTGGCGGATCCGTATCGTGACTATGCGATTGAGTACTCTCAACATGCCACCTGCAAGCCCGAGCAACAGGAAAGCACGCTTGTTTATCACACGCCACAGCCGCACCTCCACCATCACAAACAGGCCGAACCCCCCTTCTCGCAACCGCATTCTCACAGCAGCGCAGCATTCTCACAGCATCATGCAAGCGCGACCGTCCTTCCAACGGCAACCCCTCAGCCATCAGTGCATGATATGCCACAGACCGTTGTCCTTGGCCATACGCCGATGCTCCCACGGCAACTTCCCGTCCAGTATCCCCCACCCAGCTTCGAAATCCCTCCACTCCACCGTGGCAAGAAACGGCCTCATTCAGAGACAGAAGGAGATGAAACAGACCATGGTCTTAGACCTCAATTATCGGTCCTTCCCGCAGACGGGCCGGCCGAGCATGGTCACTCGCCGGAGATGCTCTTCTCTGTCCACGGGGCACCGTCCCAACAGCCTCCGATGCCAGGGCACGGCTTTGGGCACGCAGAGTCAGTTGGGCTGCCGCAACACCACCACCACCATCGCCTCCCGCCCCATGCGGCGCTGCGGACCCCTGGGCGCCATGGTATGAATGTGGAAGCCTCGCCTATGCCGTCGGGTCCTCCGAGTGTTGTAGGCCAGCCCGGGATGCCTGAACCGGCTCCCCGGCCTCGAGGCCCCAAACTAAAGTTCACACCGGAGGAAGATGCTCTGTTAGTGGAATTAAAAGAAAACAAAAACCTCACTTGGAAGCAAATTGCGGACTTCTTTCCAGGCCGGACGAGTGGTACCTTACAGGTTCGATACTGCACCAAGTTGAAAGCGAAGGACGTCACCTGGAGCGATGAAATGGTAGGTCTCTTCTTATGCAAGGATATACCTCTGCGTATGTGAAGTGGTGGGCTAAGACAAATCAAAACAGGTCCAAAGACTGCAACGTGCCCTTCAAGAATACGAGAACGATCGGTGGCGTATCATCGCAGGGAAGGTCGGCAATGGCTTCACACCAGCCGCTTGTCGCGAGAAAGCGACGCAACTTCAATGACTGTCATTTGAATATAATCTTACTACGTCCCATTACTCTGTCTAATGTCTCACATAATGCGTTCATTTGTCACGTTATTCCTCGATGTGCAGATACGTAGGAACTGGTTGTGAGGTTCATGGCGTGGTCTGACACCAGAGGGGGGTCTAATGTACGGTACGGAGTAGATTGATTGATAGTGTATGATAAGTCGATTCTGCTGCAGAATGAGGGGCCCTGCGCCGGTCTCACTTTGCAGGCGCTAATGCTCACTAAAGCAGTGGCTCGTCTCGTGGCAGCGGCCATATTCGTCAGGCAGTGAGGCTAGGCCCTACGTTGACGCAAAGAGACCCTCCGCGCAAGCCATGTAGCCCTAAGCCCTGAGTCCATGTCCCGATGAAGCTCATCTGCTCAAGTGGCTTCTGCGGCCGGCCGTTGTAGCTCCGCAACCAATCATCCCACACGGCTGACTAAGACCATACGACCACGGGCCGAAGCGGCTTCAAACTCACCTCAACCTCCAAACTCCCTCTCCTCCAAACGTCTCGCCTTGTCTGCCGTCATTGCATCACTATCCACCAGGACAATGTTCCTTCAACGCACAGCCTTCGCCCTCGCCAGGCGCACTCCCACCCGGGCCATTGCTGCTCGCCCCTTCTCCTCCTCTGTTACCCGCTGTACGTGACCCTCAGAGTCAGACCAAGACCGCCTTTTTAGCCCACCCCAGAGACCATCGACCTGTGTCTGTGTGCTCCAATGGCGTCGACATCGGTCAATTCTATCTCCTAATGCATTCTCGGTATTGGTACATGCACTGACATTGGCTCTTCACCTCTAGTCGACCAGGCCAAGAAGTGGCAGGTCAGCAAGGAGGGCAAGATCCTGTCTTTCGAGGGTAGGTACCCGCACATCCTCATCGTCGCGCAGACGTCAATTGTTCGAGCCTGCTTCACTTGCACCATCTTCCCTGGGCTTCTTCCGCGAGCGGCAGGTGCAATTGAGGGGGTGAGGGCAACTGTCGAGCTTCCGCGCTGCAGGCATTCGGATTTTACGGATCGTATGATGTTTCCCCGGATCTGATGCTAATTGTGCGCTTTTCCTGTCCCACAGAGATCAAGACCGAGGAAGACCTTGTCCCCCCTGGTGCCAAGCCTGGTACCATTCCCACCGACATCGAGCATGCCACCGGTCTCGAGCGTCTCGAACTTACCGGAAAGATGCAGGGCATCGACATCTTCGACATGAGACCTCTGGATGCCTCCCGCAAGGGTACGTCGAATTTCTGGCCGCGGGATTTATGTCCACCGGACGTGGTGCCGGCTGTGGATGTAATCGATAATCGTTTCGGGTTCCTGACATAAGTGAACTGCAGGAACTCTTGAGAACCCCATCATCGTCAACGGTGCCGGTGATGAGCAGTACGCTGGTTGCACTGGTTTCCCCGCCGACTCTCACCAGGTTAACTGGCTCACCGTAAGTTTTTGCTGAATCCCGACTCATCATTGGACCTTGCTCGGATACTGACCGGCTAGGTCTCCCGTGACCGCCCTATCGAGCGCTGCGGCGAGTGCGGCAACGTTGTCAAGCTGAACTACGTTGGTCCTGAGGAGGACCCCCACGCCCGTAAGTTATCGTGGCATTACATCATCGGTTGGGCACACTTGCTAACGAATGTCCCTCGCGGCCAGATGACCACCACGGCCACGACCACCACGGCCACCCTCCCCATGAGGAGCCCAAGACCTTCGCCGACTACGTCAAGCCTGAGTACTGGTACCGGTAAATATTTGACACTTCCACAATGGAGCGATTGTCTTTTATCTTGATCCATTCCCAGTAACGTGGGAATGGGTTCTTTGCAAATGGGTTCGATAAAAGGACAACTGTACGTGTACAAAGACAGGACAGGGACGGAAAGGAAGAGCGGAAATCGAGAGAGGAGAGCTCAAGAGGGTCGTTCGGGAAAGACGAGAGAGATGTCACAGGAAATCGTCCGGATGGAGCTAGCAATTGGTCTTCTGTTTTCTTTAATATTTTTTGAGGAATGCTGTGTATGAGAAAACCCATGTGGCTTTTTTACTTTTTTCACTCTACTTTCTCCCCCGACATACTCATAGGTGTCTTGTCCTCTCTCTCCCCTCTCGTTCTCGTTCTTGTTTCCCGGCCCGACCTGTCTACCTCTGTATTTGTGGTTTGACCCCTTGTGCACCTATCTATCTCTTTCTGCTGGGTCTTCGTCTGTATTGTTGTTGTGTTGTTTTCAAGACTTCTGGTTTTCGGCTAGCTTGTATGCCTGTAGAATAAGTTGGAGCTTTGGGTGAATTAGAGGATGTTTTGCTTCGCTGGCTATAAAAGAGAATTATGCCTTTCGGGACTAAGCCCTTCCGAGCCCTAGACTGTTGTCGAGGAGGGAGGTCGGTTTTTGGTCTGGTTATATCTGTGGAGTAGTATGCGCTATCCGAGATGTCACACTGATCATTGATGTCATTGACTCTAGCTTGAGCTGGAGCTGGAGCATATCACCGAAATGATGCATCCCACTTCATGAGGTATAAATGAATGCTGTTGCTCTACACAGTTTTAAGATCTCTACCTGAGTTGACTGCGACAGTGGTAAGAGATTATACCCATCCATCCCGTTTTGGCAAGAAAAGAGAAAACGAGCAACAAGACTTAACCTCGATATATCAATCGCGAAAAAAAAATTCTACAATCGCACAAAGTGTAAAACAAGAAAAGATACCTCATCTCAGTTTCTACCAAGTCGTAGCAAGCTTAGCCAGGAGGGAAAGGTGGGTGTCCGCCGGGGTGTGGCATCGGGGCGGTCAAGCCGCGGAGAGATGAGATGCGTAACTTAGTCTATGGCATGATGTCCTCCAGTCCGCCCCGTACCCGTACAGCTAACTTAGCTAGTAGTCCAACGGTTCCCCTGCTTCCTTATCCTTGCCCTTGCCCTTGCCCTTATCCTGGTCCTTGTCCCCGGACCGGCGGGCCGGCTGCTCGCGGGAAACCTGTCACGGTCATTTGCCCGAAGTACTGTAGGCTACGGTTACTGCACCCTACAACTCCGGAGTACCAGGTTACATTTCTTTCTCCTGTGTCGTGATTACTCTCAATCTCCAGGATATTTTAGAGCCAGATAGGTTTTTTCGGGTAGACTACCTATTCTGTCCAGTATGTCAGATTCATCTACTAATTACTCCGTAGTGAACGATGGCCCGGATGCTTACGGTGGGGAGGGAGCTGAGCTGAGCTGAGCTGAGGGAAGTGTGCTCTTCCCGAATAGGCAAGAGACTCGGGGTTTAATTACTAGTCTGGTTTGATTTGTTTTCTACTCCCGGGTAGTTGTTGTAGATAACTACCTGATCATGATTTTTATATGTGAAGAGTAGATTAATCTTAAACTACCTTCTGGACTGCTGGGAGTGGACTAGAAAGATGTGAGGTGATCGTACGTATTAATTACTGACTTTTTTTTTGTTTCATTTGTTTATTTTAGCCTGGCGTGGGTGGGTTTAGGGTGCGTCGCGGGGGGTTTTTCCAGACAGGGCCCTGCAGGGGAAGGCGGAACTGCCGAATGTGATGGGATGGGTGTGGATGGGATGGCGGTTCATTCCGCCATCAGATCAGGGAAGATGGTGATCATCCTTCGGGCCAGTTATGTCTATGTATTCCGTAGTGCAGGAGATTGTTCGGTGATTTTGTGAGTATGATCTGATTGACACAGGCACTGGCAGGGCAGATTGAGCTTGATAATGGATTGGTCAGCATCCCACGCATACTCCTGAGCTTGGACTCGTATCGGCGGCCGAAGCTGGAATTCTAGATCGACCAAGGTCATTGGGTTGTATGAATCGGGATGAGGTTGGTTGGGAATATGCGATGTGGCGTTGGTGGGGGATTTTGTGCGTCGGGTTGCACTCGTTGGTGTTGTCAAATGTACGGAGGACTTAACATGCGGCTCTTCAATGCTGCGTCCTTAATTGACTTTTGTTGATGTTTTGAGCATCTCAATCCGAAATAGTGGCTTCTTCTAACAATGCAATCAATATAATGTGCTCGAATGAGCAATATTAGATAACTGCTATAGTCTAAACAAGACAATGAAGTCTGTGCTCCCCATACCATGCGTGCCATAACAAGCATCGTATTATACAATAGATTATAACTTTTATGGCTCGTCTTATATCACCCTGATGACCCCTTCGACTGACCTGACTCGCACCAAAAACATTTACACTTCAATCCAGCTCCCCCTCAGCACTCGCAGAGCGAATTCGGTGTTCAGAATGCTTCATCATGATCACCGACCGAAGTAACGCCGCTCGAGGTACCGAAGAGGAGGATACACCAGGCCTGTCCAGGAGAACGCGACATAGAGGCCCATCTGGTTCACACGTCAGTGGGGGAACACGGCAAGCAAGACCCAGAAACAACTTACATCAGCACCATACTCGCCCACCAAGCGCGCGATGGGTCCGATATACCACACCTGCGCCATGCACAGAATCGCACCGGCCCAGCCAACCAGGAAGGCGATCAAAGCAGCGATGCCAACGGGGAGCTTAGACGGATCGTTCCAAGCGTACCAATTGTACCCGCTACGGAACCGGAAGATGAACTGTTCTTCCAGAATGATGACCACCCACATGACCACCCAATAGCCCATAAGAGCCAGGAAGTTGGTGAAGATATCAGAGAGGTTGCTCCGGCCGGCCAAGGCGCATACAGTGAAGATCACTGCTCCGAAGGTGTTCCAGAGCACTCGCGGAACCTTTTCCGCATAACGTCCGAGAATCTGGAAGTCGACTCCAGCCGAGTAGGAAGGAGCCACGGTGTTGGCGATCAAACCCAGCGCGACAACCACCGAGCAGAATTTGCCAAACCCACCCAGCGGACTAAAGCCTTCGACAATGAGGGCTCCTGCACCGACGGAATATGCTTCGCTATATTTCGCATAGTTGGCGACACCTGATCCGAGGCCAGCACCGCAGATGATCGCCATGGTGAACGAACACGTCAGCCCTGCTAGAGAGAGAGAGGAAAGGGTCCATTTAGAGGTATTCTGGGGGTAGTAGACAAAGAAGTCCGCTGCAAGTGGCGTGTAGGTTATTGCGGAACTAACACAGAGGGAGAAGAAAGACAATCTAGATTGCGAATGGTCAACTTGGAACAATAGGCTAAGTATCAAAGAGGTTACCTGTTTCCAGCAATTGTGCGAGCGTCCCCGGTGGACGAGGCCGAAAGGTCGAAATGTTTTGCGGAGACGCCAAACAATATGGAGACCACAACAAGCTGAGGAAGAAACGCAAAGCTAAAAGCAAGTTAGCGCCAGCTTGGATAAAACAAGATGAAGCGTAGCGCACCGTTCGTAATAATGAAAGACTTGAATGCCAAACGTGGCAATGATCCAGGTGATGATAGCGATAATTACAATACCTTCCAGATTGTCAGTATAGTCACGTTAAGCGACTGTCAAATGGGACGACGCACCCACAGCAACCGACATGTTTCCATGCGGTGACACAGCAGATAAGATTTGGCCGCCCACCACCGAGTCGATCAGACAGTAACCAAGCATTTGAATCAGATTCAAGATGACGATCAGCTTGCTAGGCCACCAGCCCATAGAGTAGCGTCCGAATGCCTGGGGACGTGGAGTTTAGCGGACACGCCCAAGCAAATGCTTCATCTTTCACTCACCATAGTCCGAATACCAGATACTGGACCTCGAGTAGCCATCCATGCCGCGGGAATGCTACCAAGCAAAGCCCCGAAAACGGCGCAAAGCGCCGTATCGCGGAAGCTCAGACCATAGGTAGCAGGGCCCAGCATGCCGAGAGTGATATTGTTGGCAGCCAGATTAACAGAGACCCAGAGCAGAAACGACTGCAGGTACGCAACCCAGGTCAACTTGGTCATCCGCTCATTCTCTGGCACGCGTTCGATACCGCGAGCCTCGAAGTTGTACTCGACCAATTGCTGCTCGAATCTCTTGATATAGGAGGTCAAGCGCGTCGGCGCACGCGCCGTCCGATTGATATTTTCTTCGCCATTGTCCATGGGACGAGAGGTATCATAACCTGACTGGACGTTGGCAATGTCCTTTTCAGAGGAACGCCTCATGGCGGCGACTGGTTGTTCGGAAGACATGCTGTTGCGGTTGGTCAGTACAAACCGGTCCAAAGAAGCGGGATTGATAATAGCGAGAAGCGCGCATGAGTCCTTTCGCTGGAATTATCCAGATCAAGTTCAACCGTATAATCTCAGAACGAACAACGTTTACCACACCTTTTCTGGGGCCCTCGCTCGCTAGCAGATGAAGTAACTAACCCTTCCCCACACCGACAGAGAGCGAGTGCCCCAGATAGTCTGTGTAACGTACAGTTGTCGAACACCGGTCTTCATGCAGGCAGATTACTTAGATACCTTGATCGACAGACAAAACCACGCTACTCGTCTTCATGATAGCCGTCCCTTGCATATGGTTCTGCGAGAAGACGGGAGGCCTGTATGTACGGGGACGTTGTGATTGCGATGGGGGGGAAGACTGTGGCGACGACCAGACCTGGTTCAACACGATCTCAATTGTGCGTCAGTCATACTGAAATCAACAGAGTTTTGTGGCAAACCATTATTTTTGGGGCGGGGGATTGGCAGCCAAAAGAAAAAGCGGCTTGATTGAACGCAATGAACAATTCCACTACTAACCTGAGCACTTATCACTGACGAATGCGCAATGCACACTGGCAATGGCTTGTACTATAAGGCGAAAAAAAGCCCGAGAGTGTGAGAGAAACAGGAAAGAAACAGAGAGGAGAGAACCCAGTGTTGTCAATGACTGCAATGTGAGCGAAAGGTGGAGCGGGTACAGTGAAAACCCCCAGATAGATTTTAACGGCGGCGGCGGGGTCTGGATCGAGTCATAGTCTCCTCACAGGTGGGTGGGTTTGTGGCCGCGGATTTGCCGCGGACTTGCCCGCCGCCGCCCCCCGATTTCGGATGACATTTCCTACCCGTGCGTTATACTATTCAGTGACCCAGTAGTACGCCGTTGCCTCTACTAACTACCAACTACGTATACTATACTACGAATACAGGTGCATGTTATGCGGCTAATCCCCTCACCGACATCCAAGATCTGGGCCTCATGGGTAATGCCCCAATCATCATCCTGCTCATGTGGTAAGCTGTTTGTCTGCCACCTACCCTCTTCTTCGCTAGCGACCTGCAGGTTGCTCTGCAGAGCTTTCTCAAATGCAGGCACATCAGCATTGTCCTCTACCGTCTACTGTGCGACTCTTGTCCTCTACCCAAGTTTCCAGACCCATAAAGAAGTCTATTTAGAGTAACCGAGGACATACGCGACAGGGGTTCAAATTCACCAGCAATGTGTATCATCAAAAATGGAGACGACAGCCCTGGAAACAACTGAAGCCGCAAAGGAACGCGAGAATGTGAGAGGATGGAGGACTGACAAGTGAAATAGTAAGAAATGAACAAACGCAACCTAACGCCGACGACCCTTCGCCAAGAGCTTTGCATACTATGAAGAGAAACCGCTGTGTGGCAATATGAAAACACAGGCTTAGATCAGCTTAAGTCATATCCCATGGCTTAGATCGACCAGTGGGCAAGAATATGCAGATTGTCATCACGTCGTCATCTTTCGTAAACTCTAGAGGTCCTTGAAATGTTCTTTCGCATACTGTTCACAGGCCTATATCGGGAAATGTCAGTCGGTTGCGCTGGGGCTGGTCACTTTGAGAACTCGCCTTGGCTGGCTTCCCAACTTTCTGCCCGATTACTTTCCACTTGTTCGCCTCGTATTCTTTGATGGCATCGCGAAGCGCTACGGACTATAACCCATCATGTTAGTATCGATTCGGCGCGTAGACGGATGTCGTATGTTCTTACCTCATCTTCCGCAAATTCAGCGTAGTGCATATCCTGCCACATTACTCAGAAACTCATTCTGACCTAGAGCGAGCTTCGGGTAGATGCCTACCTTATACCAATGCTTCTTGACACTTCCCTCGGTCCGAGTGGGGAAAGTCTGCGAAGCCCGAGAGCAACCAGGTTAGCACGCTTCAACGTGGTACAGAACCGATTGGTGCACCTTGGCAATTTCACTCCAGCTGCGGCCAGCATCGCGCATAGTCTTCAACCGCTGTTCCTCCTCGGCAGTCCAAGGAGTATTGGTTCTTCCTTTTTTCTTCGGTGCAGGCTCTGGTATCCCGGACCCCTGTTCATGCCCGGGCTCGCCTCCAGCTCCGGTCGCGCCTGAAGCTGGCATGGCCGCGGTGGTGCCTGCTTGGGGCGAAGCACGGCGTTTGCGCGGGTTCGGCGGAGGAATCTGAGTTTGGGGCATAGGAATGCCCTCGTATGAAGGCACTCGTGAGTAGGGATTGACTTGTTGCGGAGCTAACAGATGGGATGGTGCGTTGGCGGGGACGGAGGTCTTAATTCGTTTCGATGTTGGAGGAGACCTATTGTCATTAGAAGAGCCCGAGGGCGTCAGTGCCAGAGACGTGACTAATACATGAAAGGGGAAAAAAAGAAAAATGAATAAATACGCGGAAGTCGCAAGAAGCGAGGATACAGGGCTGAAGTAGATAAGAAGCCAAATGAGGATGATGGAAGTAATGGTAAGGATAATCTGAGCAATAATAACAAAAAAACAAGAAATAATAAAACAAATGACGGAAAGAGCCAGTCGATTTGTGAATCAGCAGATAAGGACAGGCAAAAGCCCCAGGTGAATAGGAAAAACAAAAACATAAGGCAAGAATGAAAAGCACATGACCGGGGTTGGGGGATAGTTCATCATAGGTATATATGGACAGAGAGCAACCCTGGAGCTTTTTTTTCGCAGCCCTAAGACTAGCTTTGCTGGGGCTTGGGAGGACGAAGGGTGACTTACGACATGGTTGAGGATATGCAGTTCTCCCAATCACGCTCCGTTGATTCATCTGTAAGTACACACGCTTAGGAGATTAGTAAATCTGCTATTCAAGGAACGCTCCGTGTAGATCGTCCTGTCATGTCTAGGGAAGCGAGCGCCTGGTTACACCAAAGTGACGATGACACCAGTGCATCATACGGCATGGTAGTAGCGCCGCAGGAAGGGAGGCTGGACGTCAGGAGTGAAGGGGAGAGTCGACAAAAATGTTACATGCATGTGTGGAAGTGGTCGGCAGCGAGGGACCTGGAGATGGCGCACGAATCTGAGTAAGAAGGAGAGCAACACGAGGAGAGAATAAAAGAAAGAAAGGGGAAGTGAAAACTAGATGGAGGGAGGGAGGGAAAGACGGGAGAAAGGGCAAGTCAAGGGCAAAAAGAAAACAAATATAAACAGGTTTAGGCACAATCACAAGTAGACCTCTCGAGCATCTTAGGATACATAGGCTGGACATAGTACGGAGGAATACTGGAGTTGCGATGATAAGACGTTCTGGTCAGGACAAGTGGAGATGGAGACCAACACAGAGTGCAAAGAAAGGCTTACTGGTCGAAGTTCATGATTCGAAAACTTTCGGGGTTTTTCTAACAGGTAGACACGAAGTAGCAGTCTCGTTGCTTGGAGGTCGACTAAGTGACGGATTGAGGCCGATCAGGAGAGTAATAGTAGGCAGGCAGGTAAGTAAGAAGTAGTGAGGAAGATAGTGAGAGTAGTATAGTAGTAGATGTTGGTCGACAATCAATCGGAATACTAGGCCGGTTGGCAGTCGCTAGGGAAGGGTAGTCAGTAGTCAGTAGTCAGGATGATCGTCGTCGTTCTGATCGTTGGCGTAGAAGAGATGATCAGCAAGTAAATGAGCAGGCAAGATCGAGTCGATTCGAGGTCAAAGATACATACATGCCTTTACATTTAGCGGTTTGCAGGAGGGAGGAGTGCCGGTACGCGGGTTGGAAGGTAAGGTATACTAAGGAAACATTCGGGTGAGGAGAGGGTGGGAGGGAGAAGAGAGGGAGGATTTGTTTTCCTCGCCGTGAGCTAAAAGAAGAAAAATAGAAACGAGACGAACCTGCAGAGAGAAAAGGAATGGTAAGAAAAGAAGTGCAGGAGAAAGACCAGCAACTGCGAAAGTGCAAGGCGAAAGAAGACGAATCAACGGCAAGTGACTGACTGACTGACTGACTGACAAGACAAGACAAGACTGACTACTGCTGAGGGGAGATCCGAATCCACTCCATGGCCAAGCAGCTTCCATTTCACCAATCCCGCGAGCTCCGACTCGTGTTTGCTTTTTCTTCTCCTAAGCAAGCGTGGATAAAGTCAATGATTACCTCCCCTACTCACTCACTCACTCCCGTTCTACCTGGCAATTGATAGTTCACCAAGAAGACGGACAGGAGATGGTTTCTGCACACCGTTGCATGGTCTCATTATGCCAAAAGAAGTAATTCCCCTCCTATCCCGCTTTAAGCCAGTCTTAGATCGAGTGGTTTCGCTTTGACAAAAACAGTGTACCGTACAGATCCCGAGCCCCATTGCCAGCAGCGATTTCCCCTCTTTGATCGGTCGAAATTCCGGATGGATTTTCTAAAAAGAACGGCAGAGACCCTACGCCCCGTTATGGCCTTTGGAGGGGAAGGGGGAGGGGGAGGGGAGGGGAAAGGATGACAGAGGAGGAGGGGTGGTGCGTCTGGCCTTTGACGCCTACCTACTCATCCTTGTACTCATACACAAGGCACCTACCTATACTACTTCGAGTTCCTCTCCGTTTGTTCCGTTCTCTCTCACCAACCGACTACGTTGTATACCGCGCATGTCATTACACAGTATCTATTGTCTTCAGACGACCACTTTGGGTTGTTGCGGCCATACCATAATCGAAGTTCAATTCCAGCGCATCCATCAGCCACAAATCGCACCTTCGAATCCTGTCTTCCAACAAACAAGACAGGGAGCGATGATGCTGGTGGCGGCGACATACGTTCCATACGTTCCATATAGCCCGCCGTCTCGGTTGTTCTCGCCAGGTTAACCTGGCGTCGCTGCAGTGTCCAGGTAGGTCAAGCGGGTGGACAAGGCCAGTGAGGGAGCGGGGTCTGGACTACCTGGTATCTGGTGACCGTGAGCAAGACTACAACTTGAAACGAACATTTTTTGGTATGCAATCGTTGACCTTGGCACACCAGAGAAAAAA